ATTTCCTCAGAACCCATTGCCATTGACGTCAGCCCGTATAGGAGGAGAAGCTCACCATGCCATCCTGGTGACCAGCGCCTGTCCCGTAGTCAGTCAGACGTATTGCCTCCTGCCACATCACCATGTTTAGGCACACCTGCACGGGTCAACCCATTCTCTCTTCGCCAAGACCTCAACGGTGGTCGTATCAAGCTATTCGACACCCCTAGCAAATCTGTCATCTCTCTTACCTTTACCCTTCCACCACCTCCAGACCCCTGTGCCTCCCCACCACTAAACAGGAGCCCGGGGCTCCGAGGACCCCCTCGAAGGTGTCGCTCCCTGCCGTGCACCCCCGAGCTGGGGCGACAGCTACCCTCCAGAGACCAAGAGGGCCAGGAAGAGGAGGAGGGGACTGAAGAACTGAGAGATGGAATGAAAGAGAAAGAGGTGGAAGGACGGCAAGACGTGGTGGAGGGCTCAGGCCTGATTCTGGACTTAGATATGGTGTCTTTAGAACGGTTAGAAGAGGAAGAGGAAGATGACGATGTGGAGAAAGAGGGCCTGAGCCTCACAGAGCCCATGGACTGTAGTAGCTCGCCTGACACGGCAGAAGGAAATGTGTCAGGGAAGCGGCTCATCAGCGGTTCTTCTTATTCCTCGTCCTTGCAGTCTAATGGTTGGGCTACACCCATCTCTAACGGACCACCATTATTACCTCCCCTTCCCCGTTTGGACAATAACAATGGACTGCTGAGGCCTGGGCGGCCAATGGCATGGGCAAGACTGAATGGATACCGAGGCCCCGCCCCGGAGCCTTTACCTCCCACTAACGAACAAGACGATGTCATTTCTTGTCCAGCCTGCTGTCTGGCTGGGTTCAGCTTCCCTTCCATGTGCCTACGTGGAGCTCCTCCGTCGCGCCGTGGACCTCCGCGACGACCGTACAGGAACTTCAATGGAGGGGAAGCATCTGCAGCCACAGCAAAGGGACTGCTCTGTCGGGGAGCAACGGGTCTGGCTCCATCCACAACAACTTGTGAGCCAGGGTTACCCCTACCAGAGGCCCAAACCTAAAGATGACCACTGCGACATCACAGAAACTGCAATGCCACACAGTCAGGACGCATCTCTGATATCAGTATGGTTATCTTACTGGATGCAGTGCGGGTTGAAACATGGAATTAAAGGGATTTTTCACCCAAAAATAAAAATTCTGTCACTTACTCAACCTGATGTTGTTCCAAACCTGAATGACTTACTTTATTCTGTGGAACACAAGCGATGTTTTGAAAAAAATGCCACACTGCTTTTTGTCTATACAGTGAAAGTCAGTGTTATTTCATTGTATGGATGTTTAAAACATTTTAAAAATAAATCTTTCTATTTTACAGAATAAAGAAAGTCATACAGTTTTTGACATGAGGGTGAGTAAATAATGACAGAGTTTTTTAGGGCTACACAATATGTAAAAAATTTAACTGATATTGTGATATGGCTTAGTGTGATTGTCAAATTGCACATGTTGTGATTTAATTGAAAAAAAACATTTTCTGACATTTTCAGATTGAGAGCACATGCACGTGTACTGTAAATGAACTTCTCTCTGAAACCAGCAGTGCATATATTTATATGCTAGCAGCTCGCCAAAATGAAAGCTTGATGGGTTAATGTCTAAAAATAAACTAAGGCACAAATATTAGTATTATAATTGTACTGTTGTACTATAAATTAAAATCACATTTATTAAATACCCAATTTTATAAATTTCCAGTACAATGCAATTATTACAATACATTTCTTGTTTTGTTTAATATTTGTATTTAATAATAATCACACAAAAAATCATAATAATAATTATTGTTTTATAGTTATTTTGAATTAGATGAAAACAATGGGAATGTGGCCTGTGAAAACTTAAGTGGAAAGAGATTTTTTTTTAAACTATGTTTAATTTATGGTTAAAGAAAGAGGTTTAAGTTGTATCTTGTAAACTTAAGTGTGAACACTCAAATAAAAATAAAATAAATCAAAATTGTTCGGCCATACAAAAAAATCATACAAAAAAAATGCTGATGCACTTATTCTAGAATTAATTTTCCCCCCATGATGCAGCAATATATTAAAGCCATCTGCTGAAAAGTCCTGTTTTTTTTTTGTTGTTGTTATGTATTTATTTATTTTTTCATATCACACTATATATAGCAGTAAAGCATTTTGTTTTTGGGTGAACTATCCCTTCAGTGTGTACGAGACACAAGATAGAAGTGAGGAATGAAAGGCATGCTGGTTCCATAGTGCCAGTTCTTTATCATGGTCTTTTTTTTTTTGCCGTAATTCAGAATAACTTAATATCATTACTGTTCAATAATGGCTGCTTTTTATTGTGTATTCATTTTGGCTCCATAAATGTTTTTGACTGAAAGCCACTGTGTTTAAAAAGAAAAAAATCTAACTGTGTTTGTAGTAAGGGAGACCTACATGATAATGTGGCATGTCAAGCATTTTAAGCGTATTATCTGATTATTTATTTATTGTAAGCATTCCTCTGAAAGACTGAATGCTCTTTACTTTGCTGTGAGAGTGGACTATTGGGTGTGTGAGTACTGATGTTGAGACATTTTTGTGATACACGTGTATGTTTAGATGCAATGTATGCAGTAAATCATGGTAAATATGTAAAGTGTTTTTAAAGGAAAACTTCTACGTGCAGCAGTGCTTGTAGAAGATAGCAGTTTACATTTTTTTTATCTCCCCCTAGTGGTCTGGAGGATACACTCTTGTTAGATCACTGCTGCTGTTGTTATTAAAAAAAGATTCCTTTCACATGAGAGGTGTTAGAGGACATTTACCTTCACATTTGATCTAGTTAAGCTTTGCTGTGATGTTCAAGGTATGGAATCGTATTTAAAAAATCAAAAGTGAACTTGCACAAAGTGTTTCCTCATGCCGCTGACATGTCCTCAAGACAAATATGACACCCCCCCGCCCCCAGCACAAATGATCAACAAATCTGCTTTGTGTTTGAACATGAGAGTAAAGGAATCTAGATTCAGTGTGGGTCAATATTAGTCTGGGACTGAAACGGTAATTCATATTGAGTCTAAACTGAAATTTTGCATCAGTTTATGCAAAATCTGAGATAGTCTGATATGCTGAAATGTTTCTGACGTGTGGATTACTCCTCAGAAACACATCCACTGAATTTCCTCATGCTTGTTTATGTACATCTGCTTATGAGATGAGCATAGGAAGTATCTGCATGCTGAGTACTGTACAAAAGAGTGATCTGTACATATCAATGCATGACAATAGACAAGAAGCTGTCTAGCACGTTAAAACTTCCCTTCAGACTGGCATCAGAGGTGAAGTTGTCTCAAGACGTTTTTGGCTTATACAGATCTGAATTCTGAAACAAGATGTGGATGCAATAAGTGCTCTTGGTTTAAACAGTAACTTATATTTTTAATAGTTTGGTGAGAAATATGTTTAAATGAATGAATTCATTAGGTTCTTGAAAAGTATACATTTTCTAATATTAATGTGAAGCATAGAATTGGGCTGTTAAACTCAGAAGCTGATAATGAAAAGTCGGCTTGATTATGACTATAATTTTCCATGCACAGAAGAGATGAAAGCAATTTGATCATGTGTATTTGTATTGCACATACATTCAGAACTTACCTCCTTTGTGTCAGTGATGAAGTGATGTTATAGTGGATGGGATGTGGATAGATTTGCAAGGTCCATGTGTTATGTTACTGTGTAAAGATTTATTTCTAAGAGAGAACCTCTTTCTCTCTGAGAGCAAAGCACTTATCACTATGATGATTACTCTTATTAGTTCTGGGGAACAGCAGCTTTAATAAATGTCAGTGAATTGTTATTTATGAAAATGTCATAAATTAAAAAAGATTGAATGTATAAACTGTCATATTTACATTAAAACATATTTGAAATGTTTATAGATTTTTAGCTACCGAGCTGAATCAGAAAACTGACAAACATTGTGCCATAATCTAGTATATCGAGCTCATTTCATATAGAAGAGCTGTTGTGTTTATTGGAACAAACAGTGCCGATCATAGACTTCTGGGGGCCCACAGCAAAACTGTCCATTCTCTCTTCGCCAAGACCTCAACGGTGGTCGTATCAAGCTATTCGACACCCCTAGCAAATCTGTCATCTCTCTTACCTTTACCCTTCCACCACCTCCAGACCCCTGTGCCTCCCCACCACTAAACAGGAGCCCGGGGCTCCGAGGACCCCCTCGAAGGTGTCGCTCCCTGCCGTGCACCCCCGAGCTGGGGCGACAGCTACCCTCCAGAGACCAAGAGGGCCAGGAAGAGGAGGAGGGGACTGAAGAACTGAGAGATGGAATGAAAGAGAAAGAGGTGGAAGGACGGCAAGACGTGGTGGAGGGCTCAGGCCTGATTCTGGACTTAGATATGGTGTCTTTAGAACGGTTAGAAGAGGAAGAGGAAGATGACGATGTGGAGAAAGAGGGCCTGAGCCTCACAGAGCCCATGGACTGTAGTAGCTCGCCTGACACGGCAGAAGGAAATGTGTCAGGGAAGCGGCTCATCAGCGGTTCTTCTTATTCCTCGTCCTTGCAGTCTAATGGTTGGGCTACACCCATCTCTAACGGACCACCATTATTACCTCCCCTTCCCCGTTTGGACAATAACAATGGACTGCTGAGGCCTGGGCGGCCAATGGCATGGGCAAGACTGAATGGATACCGAGGCCCCGCCCCGGAGCCTTTACCTCCCACTAACGAACAAGACGATGTCATTTCTTGTCCAGCCTGCTGTCTGGCTGGGTTCAGCTTCCCTTCCATGTGCCTACGTGGAGCTCCTCCGTCGCGCCGTGGACCTCCGCGACGACCGTACAGGAACTTCAATGGAGGGGAAGCATCTGCAGCCACAGCAAAGGGACTGCTCTGTCGGGGAGCAACGGGTCTGGCTCCATCCACAACAACTTGTGAGCCAGGGTTACCCCTACCAGAGGCCCAAACCTAAAGATGACCACTGCGACATCACAGAAACTGCAATGCCACACAGTCAGGACGCATCTCTGATATCAGTATGGTTATCTTACTGGATGCAGTGCGGGTTGAAACATGGAATTAAAGGGATTTTTCACCCAAAAATAAAAATTCTGTCACTTACTCAACCTGATGTTGTTCCAAACCTGAATGACTTACTTTATTCTGTGGAACACAAGCGATGTTTTGAAAAAAATGCCACACTGCTTTTTGTCTATACAGTGAAAGTCAGTGTTATTTCATTGTATGGATGTTTAAAACATTTTAAAAATAAATCTTTCTATTTTACAGAATAAAGAAAGTCATACAGTTTTTGACATGAGGGTGAGTAAATAATGACAGAGTTTTTTAGGGCTACACAATATGTAAAAAATTTAACTGATATTGTGATATGGCTTAGTGTGATTGTCAAATTGCACATGTTGTGATTTAATTGAAAAAAAACATTTTCTGACATTTTCAGATTGAGAGCACATGCACGTGTACTGTAAATGAACTTCTCTCTGAAACCAGCAGTGCATATATTTATATGCTAGCAGCTCGCCAAAATGAAAGCTTGATGGGTTAATGTCTAAAAATAAACTAAGGCACAAATATTAGTATTATAATTGTACTGTTGTACTATAAATTAAAATCACATTTATTAAATACCCAATTTTATAAATTTCCAGTACAATGCAATTATTACAATACATTTCTTGTTTTGTTTAATATTTGTATTTAATAATAATCACACAAAAAATCATAATAATAATTATTGTTTTATAGTTATTTTGAATTAGACGAAAACAATGGGAATGTGGCCTGTGAAAACGTAAGTGGAAAGAGATTTTTTTTAAACTATGTTTAATTTATGGTTAAAGAAAGAGGTTTAAGTTGTATCTTGTAAACTTAAGTGTGAACACTCAAATAAAAATAAAATAAATCAAAATTGTTCGGCCATACAAAAAAATCATACAAAAAAAATGCTGATGCACTTATTCTAGAATTAATTTTCCCCCCATGATGCAGCAATATATTAAAGCCATCTGCTGAAAAGTCCTGTTTTTTTTTTGTTGTTGTTATGTATTTATTTATTTTTTCATATCACACTATATATATATAGCAGTAAAGCATTTTGTTTTTGGGTGAACTATCCCTTCAGTGTGTACGAGACACAAGATAGAAGTGAGGAATGAAAGGCATGCTGGT